AAGACGTATTTATCGCCAACATCCATCCAGTGATGGGCATGGGGGCTTATGGGGGGTGAGTGCTATGTATCCCAACCCTGAACTTGAAAGAGTCACTTCCATGCTAGGGAGAATCTGAGCTTCTCAACCTTCTTGTAGTGGTTTCAATGTGCGGGCAGGGACCCGCTGTGTCAGAATCATCTGGGAATTCATTACAAATGCAAGCGTGTGCCCCACCCTAGACCCACTGGATCAGAATCTCTGTGGGGTGGGGTCCAGCATTGTGCTTTATAAGCCTTCCAAAGGATTCTTATGCAAAGGAGAGCTTGAGAACCACCCATAAAACTAATAACTTCCAAAGAATATCGGGAAGGCCTTTGTTCTGACTTGACCAATGTGCCTTTGATGAGAACACCAATGCTGCTAGAGTATCCTCAGGCCTTTTCTTGTCCTTCTAAGAAAGGATACTCTAGCAGCATTTTTTTAAAAATTAAAATGAGAATAGGAGAAAGGGCTCTATCTCCACAATAAAGCTGTGTTAGGATAGTATCATTATGGCAAGTAAAACCACCTAATTCTGGGTTAAGTTGACTCTACTGCCCAAATTATAAGTCAACACAATATTCTAAAAAGAATTAGTCCTGAGTCAGATGCTCTAGTTTGTACGCATGCTCAGTAACACAGTATTTGGAGCCAGACTGCCCAGGTTCAAATTCTTGGGCAAGTACTTTACTTCTGTTCTCCAGACAGGTTTCCTGATGTATAAAAGGAGAATAGTAGTACTGACCATGTAGCATTGAGAAGTAAATGAATTAAGAGACTGAAGTCTTGGTGCAGTGTTTGGCTAACAAATAAAAGAAATTAAGTTAGTTGTCCATGATTCTTAAAATCATCTCAATCCGATGTAAATGGAAAAACTATTTTACAATTGAATTGTAAGATTCACTTATTTCAGTGAATCAGAAGGATTAGCCTAAGTATCTAACAGTTTTTAGTTGGCCCCCGCCTGTGTCTCAGAAGCTGACTTAAGGCCAGAACACATTTGTGCTTGATATCTCGGGGGCCCTCTCGCTTAGTCCCTCTTACCAACCTTCCCTGTGGGAAAACATTGCTGACTAGGATATCTGCTTGTCTAAAAACAAGCTTTCACCTATGAATAGAAAGACTGGCATTGAAGGGCCAAGCAGAAGCGAGTCCTACTAAAAATAAATGCCCTTGGCAGCCCCAGAAGTGCCAAAGCAAATGGACTGAAGAAATTCCAGTAGATAACACCCGCATGCTCAAGCTGTGAGGAAGGGGGTGAGAGATTTGAATACTTGGCCCTGCCAGTCCCAGCAGTGTGGTGGCCTGAGCCCCTCTGAGTAGCTTGAAGTTCATGTCTGAGCCTCAACATGAAACATCTCCATATTCTATGCACTGCTACTGGACATTCCTGCAAGGGTGCCGCTCCGAGCCCTGCAGGGAAATGTGTAGCCCGGTGTGAAGGCTTGGTATTTATTGTAGGGCCTATGCAGTTTTTCCTGAAGCTTACATATTGTTCCTCCATGTAACCCTTGCAGCGACAATTAGACAACGGCAGGCTGACTTCTATTTGCATTAAAAATCCTGAGTTTCTTGGAGCCAGTGACCTGCCAACATGTCTGGGTAGCAAAGTTAACTATTTAGGTAAGCAAGGCTCCTGGGACATAGGTGCCTTGAAGTAAGTTTACATAGTCTGATTCCATCTGTGTAAGTGATAGTATGAGAGAGTAATCCTTCGATACTTCTGGGCATTCATTCATTACAAATTTAAAGAGCCACATATATGACTAGGTACAAGTGACATACCACCCCCTGAACCAAAGGGGTAGGGATATTCATTCTAAGTGTTAGAGCTAGAAGGAAACCTAGATCTAGTCCAACAGTTTGATTTCTTAAAACAATAGAGCCCCTTTCAAATTCTTACACACAACGCCAAGTCAAAAGAAAGCCATCGTGCTTCAAGCCTACTTTTGCCCCACCCTGTACAGTACCTAGCTCTTCTACTTCTCAGGTTATTTTTTGAGGCATCAGTGGCTTTAGCTGAGCCTAAGAATTAAAAGAATCTTGGGTGGACACGATTTCAAACTCATCCCATTTCCTTTATGAAATCATAACACTGAACTTGAGACTTAACTGTCATGGATGCAAACAGACTACAGGTCCACAAGCCTGAAATCCCCAAAGCTTTGGAAACCAGAAGCTTCTTAGCTCATGTGGTGTTTTCAGTTCTCCTCGAGCTCTGTGCAGTCCCAGTCGAACACCAGAGGTGTAAGGTAGAATCTTTCAGAAACTTGGACAGAAAATCCACACAGTGTTACAGTCAGGTGGCCGAGGTCTCGGCACTGGGTTTCTTGTTTGAGCTCTGCCCTCTGCACGATGCAGGGAATTAACATAAGGAGGGAGCACCTTCTGCCCAGTAACTCTCTGGAAACAAAGTACTTAGGAAATCAAGAGACTCGGCCATAAAGCTTAAGGTCTTTACTCCTCGCTCTCTAAAGGGCCCTTTATAAAGCCCGCTAGCCTTACCCACCCCCACCCCATCTCACTCCTTTCTTAAACAAGCAGGGACATTTAGGAGCAGAATGTACTCCTAACCCTGGTCGTCCCTCCTTCTTAATAGAGGCTGTGCATGTGTCATGGTAAAACACAGCTTTATGACAGTCAGGCAGAAGCCTGGGGGAAGTGGAAACATCTCAGATAAGAAAAGGTAGAAGTTAAACTCCTTTTCATCTTAGACCACTGGAATAAACACTAAGAAAATGCTCATGTCTGCCCTGAGCCTGCTCAGTATGGACACTGCAAGCAGCATCGCTGGAATGTTGATGTCACTTGTTACTGTTGATAGTTTGCAGGTTACAGCTACATTCAGGGACCCTCTTTAAGGGTATTGGGACTAAACAAGAGCCTTAGGATATTCTGTGTCTGTATTTAGTCCCAGGACAGTTTGAGTGTCTATAAAATATGTAGCTTCCAGGTGACTCATTTTTAAGATCTTCCAGGTACCTAACCCTGAAGTGGAAATCCATCATTTGACACTTACTTTTATGTCTCGGTCCAAGACTGATTATACAGTTACCTTTTTGACAGTGTAGATATCAACGTCCATGTTTTTGTCTCATTTTGACTGAACAACATTAAATGACTACAACCTTTTAAAAATTCAGAGCCTTGTGGTCTGCACAGTATCCTGACAATAACCTGACTGTTCTTTCCAAGTATATTTATATCAGTGTACTCTGACTATAAACTGTTCTTTTTCTACTTTTCAAATAAAGTACTCAAAGTAGATTCTTATTACATGGCCCTCAAACACAATGGGGATATAGAGCTAAAGCCAGTGGGCCCTGAAATATGTACTCCAGCACTGAGCATATTGAGAATATATCGAGATTAGGCTGATGATGGAGACGGTCGAGAGGCAGCCAGGTGCTTCCTATTTGGTTTAGCAGTATAAAAACTAGCAGGTGAAGCTTCCTGGCAGCAACCTCTACCCTCCCCCATTTTCCCTTCTAAATCCCTGGTATCTTTACACCCAATAAAATATTTGTGGAATGAATGAAATGTATGTAGAAATGCAATCAGATCACACTGCTTTTTACCTGGGTCATAGCTTAACTAGACTCCTGGGAGCAGGTTTTAAACAAATACATTTAGTCCCTTAGAAGATAACCACACCCATATGGCAAACTTGACTTGGACCAAATTTTAATCTTCCTGGGAATTTGCCACAAAGCATAGAATCCTCCCAGACAGTGGGGAGTAGCTGATAGCAGGGAGGCCAGCTAGAGTATTGTGTACATAACACAAGAGTTCCAGTCTGTGCTTGTCACTGTAGCATCTGTTCTTACGCCAGCATGCCACAGCTGCAGATGCTGAGAGGTGGCAGGAAATCGGAAGGCCTCCCTAAGTAATCTGCATGAACTATATATGGCTCCATTGGGTTTCTCGAATATTTGCAGTATATTTGCATTAAGCAACCGGATCTTTGCCTTTTATCTCAAAGAAATCATATCCTCCAGAAGGACAGACCTGCTAATGATAGGAAACACCTGGATGTTAGTTGTCCTGTGCCAGGCAAAAAAACTAAGTGCCCTACTTACAAGAATTAGTTCATATTATTGTGTGAGTTAAATATCCATACATTGAGCATAGGAAAACTGAGGTTCTGACAAATGGAACCCAAGTCTGTGGCTCTACCTTACTTTGCTTTTCTCCAATCACTAAATTAAAAATGATTTCCATTTGTCTCTTAACTGTACCTTCTTGATGCTTTTTATCTTATCTTAGAGTCGTTTCATAAACCTGTGTTTTTTATAATCAGACTTCAAGTTCTAAGATGAGGAACCATGGTATTAAACTTCTATGTCTTTCCTTTCCTTGCTGACCTTTCTAAATCTCCTTCACTTTGCTTGTAATAGGAGCATCATTCATGAATAACAGTATGGAACGTGGACCAGAAATACCATTAAAGGATTAAGATTTGGCTGTGTGATTATAGCCACACAAGTGACTTTTAAACAAATGATAGAAAGAGTCCAGAGCCAATGAAAATGCCCCCATATTCTCTGGGCAACTTAGGTTCCTTCTATCTTGGTCTGGCTGCATTGGCCCAAGATCAGTATTCCAATCAACCACCATGCCCAGTTTTCAGGAACCAGAAAGGAATAAAGGGAAGGAAAATGGATCCCCTGTCCCTTTGAGGATATTTCCTAGAAGTTGTATATACCAATCCTGCTGTCATTGCATTAGCCAGAATGTATTCTCAGAGAGGCTGGGAAATCTAGTCTTATCTAGACAGTGTGTGCCCAGCTAAGAACTTAGTTACTGTCAGTCATTGCCCCAAGACCCATCCAAGTCTGCCCCCCCCAGAATGTGCTGGCCTGCTGAGTCTGCAGTTGTCCTTCTCAGAGGATCCCTGCCCACAGGTATTGGATAACCTGAATCTCTAACTAATCACCCTTGGATCCCAAGTTTAGTTAAGTGTTCCCTCCTGATTTTAGGAAGAAAAGCCAAATGTGAACCTTCCCAATTCCAGTGCACGAATGGCCGCTGTATCACACTGTTGTGGAAATGTGATGGGGACGAAGACTGTGCTGATGGCAGTGACGAAAAGAACTGTGGTGAGTAAAGAGTCTGACAGTCTCACTTGCCACCTCACTGGGACTTATGCATTTTATTGAGAAGTAATAATGTTACCTTGGTTTCTACAAATGTATCGAGATTCTGAAAATGGAATCCATTCCTAAGACTTCCTATGAACCAGAGTCCAAAGATTCTGTGCAACCTGGTCTAGAGGAACCTGATTGAATGTTTGACAAGGGGTTATCATCTTGAGCACAGAATGTTGAAGATAAAGTGGAGTTCCTTTCAAATGACAGGACCCGGTTTATCTTAGATCAGGCAAACATTTGGTGTAGGAAGCTAGGAGAAGAGAGGGGAGGACTAGAAGTGAAGACAGAAGACTGCTTAGAACAGACTTTCTTTGTTAAATTTTCAGATGGCTCCAATTACCTCCACCCCCCAAAAGAAAGTCACAGATAGTAAAAAAAACAAAAAACCCTAAAGCTGCAGAGGGTCAATTAACTCCTAGCACAGTAACTACAAGCCAGCACAGAGATCAGATAATTCTCTGCCTGCAATAAATGCTAATCCTAAAGCATTAGGCAGGGTGGAAGACATCTCCCAAGACATTGGGGATATACCATCACACCCACTGATCAGTGTCTGTCAAAAGATCATTGTGAGAAATGCCTGTTTATGCAATCTGTATAGCTTCATATCAGCCAGAACAGCTGAGAACTACACGTTCTTATGTAGGTACCTTGACCCCTTTGTTCTGTGTTGTAAAAATCCTGAAACAATGTTGTGTGTGAATGTCGGTGATAACATTGTCATTTGTCTTTTAGTAGATGTTATTATGAGATATCCAAACTAGAAACACAGAAGAAAAACAGCTTAATGTAGATTTCATCAACTGCCATCTTGTTATGCCATTACCTACTTCTTCATGCATCATTACTAAAATGTTAGAGTGTAAACACTGTGGCTGACTGTCCTATGTTTAAGCTCTCTGGGCAATACTATGGATGGTTTTATGCCATTTAAGAGATTAAGAGCTTATTTGGAAGCATAGGAAGTCCATTCTACAGTCTCAGGGAAGAAACTTCTCTCCAATCTCAAGACCAAACATAGTTCTCCTGTGCAACACTTTCCCATCACTTGCACTCTAACACTAAGACTTTCATCTATTCTATAAGACACTCAGTTCCATGCTATTTCTGGGTTCCTTAGGTAATATAATCCCCTCACTAAATATCCCACTAGTAGGACCTCACTCTTGTCAACTGTTCTCTTGGTGTAAGTAACAGTTCTGCCTCTAGTCTAAACTTACATATTTGACAAAACCTACTGTTTTTTCTTAGAAAGTTTTCATGTTTTGGAAGTCTTTTACCATCTGACTAACTCTAATGATAAGTCAACTAAAAGCTGACAATTTGCTGAAAATTTGAAAGGGACAGCTTCACGTCAGGGGTTTAAACTAGGTACAACTCTCAGAGTTTAGAGTGTCCTAAACAAGAGGGTCACTCTGGTTTAGCTTCTGATATTGTAAAGGGGGAAGACAGTGATTAGAGTCAATTCCAAGTAGAAACTAACCTGGGTCATCTTAAGAGTCATCACTGGCTTTTCCTAATACAGTCTTTGCATAAATAACGTCTAGCCACATGGCAGGGGGGTTTGGAAGAGGTAAGTAGAAAGATGTATATACAATCAAGATCACACAAGGTGGGGAAAATGAAGTATTTCTTGACCAGACTTTGTCTCTGCCTCCCAGGTATGAAAGTCGAGAGGGAAAGTGGCAGCATTGCTCAGGGGAGCTCTGAGTGCTTATATTGAGATGTCCCAAAGGGAAAAGCTACACAATTACTTGAAACTTATAAAGCCAATTCCTATTTTTCCTGTCCAACCTCTTAGTATTGAACTTGGTTATAGTTTCAGTGGGGCTTTCTTTCAAGCATATCAACTAGCATATTTAGTCAACTTCAGCTTGAATTCCACAAGGTAATGGGAATATAGGGCTCTTGGGTAAGTGACTTCAACTTTAACCCTGCAAATAAACTTTTGTAGAGAAGAAGACGTGTGCCGAGTCTGACTTTGTGTGCAACAATGGCCAGTGTGTCCCCAGCCGATGGCAGTGCGATGGGGATCCTGACTGTGAAGATGGCTCTGATGACAGCCCAGAACAGTGCCGTGAGTGTGACTTGCTTTTAGACTTGCACTTTTCTAAGCTGTTCCGTGTCTCATAGCTCTAAGTGTTGTTTAATGCAATACTCGGTGTCATTTTCCTTTGACCCCCTTAAAGTGTAGGCCAATTGACTCCAAAGTCAGTCAGGTCATTTACAGTTCATCAGTGTCCTTTAAAGAATGTTCTCCCTAGTCTAACAAGACTGACATTCTCTTGGGTAGCTTCACTGTTGAATATTTAAGACTGAAGCCAGCAGACTTCATTAAGAACTCCTTGACTAGGTGCACAGATTTCAAATGTTTGATAATGACGAATCTGAGCAGATGGTACTCTGGTCCTGGAAGCTAAGTCAAGATGGAAGGGTCTCCCGTAGGCCGAGTATAAGCTTTTACACACACAGCTTCTCGTGTTATGAAAAAGATACCTATTACTGAAGAGGTAAAGTGGCTAGAAGTAGGGTGATACAGTGATTCTGAACAAAAACGTAACTTGAAGTTATTAAAGTAGGGAACTTACAGCTTGTTCTTAAATAAGAGAAATTTCATAGTTATGCAAATGTATATCCAAGTTCTTAGGCTGACATTCAGGAAAAAGTCTATGTGATGATAGGACAATTTGGGATCATTTGAGTGTCAAGGTGAAGAAAGTCTTGGAGTTCATTTTCAGGCAGTAGAGACCTAATGAAGCGCTAAAAGTGGAGGACTAATGAACAAAATTTTGGTCTGGAAAATGGTTACAAAAGAAAATCAAGCAGAAAGGAAAATAAAGGTGCGATGCCAATTTTGTAGGCAGGACGTGAGGGGAGTAATAAGAATATTGGTCAAGGCAGGTGAGCTACCATATGTAACGACAGGTTCCATAAAGATTCAGCCCCGAGTTTTGGTAAAGGATGACCCAGTAAAGTCAAAATGTATGGGATGTCACTACTCTGCAAATGTAAATCTAAAGGCAGTTGTGAAGGAGGCCCGTAAAGGAACCTAGAAGCAAGACCTCATGGGTGTTAGACCACCTGGCCTTTAATGAAGTTGGGATTAGATATCTGGGTGTGCCACTTGATATCCAACAGATAAATAACGGTCAAGGAGCAGGCCAGCCAATAAACCTAACTATGCCAAGTAAAACAAAAGCCAGATCTGGGCATGCCACGGAACCTTGAAGGAGTAACATGGTCAAGGCTCTCAGGTGTGCTGCCAGGTAGCATAGGTTGGCATGGCTTCTAAGCAATGGAGCTGGCAAAGGATCTACGCAGGCTTCAACTAGTAAGTCAAATTTCACCAGCATGCCAGGCCACTGAGTTTTAGATGTACCACTTCCAAGCAGCACAGGAGCAGCGACTTTGCCCTGATGAGTCTGGAGGCTCTTTTGAGACTGTATATCATCAACAGATATGAGAACATGCCGCACAAATGAAATCAGCTGTGGCGCCCATTCTACTCAGTGTATCCCAGAGTCCTGGAGATGCGATGGTGAAAATGATTGTGACAGTGGAGAAGATGAAGAAAACTGTGGTAAGAAGATCAGTGTTGAGTGGCTTATCCCAAAGACCCCTTTGCTCAAAGAAGGGTGGGCAGGGGAAGCTAACTTAGGCATGAAGATGCAATTACATTGACTCGCTTTCAGTGACTTTGCTATCTGCTCAACTACCTGTCCTTCATAACTACCCTAAAAGTCTGAAAGAAGCTCATATGGAAATTGACCATGTCTTGCTTTGGTGTTTTCTTCTAGACAAATAGAAATAAAAAGGTAAGTGATTCAAGGCACTTACATTTAGAAGTAGCTCAGTGAAGCACCAAGTGTGTGGACTTTTGTCTCTTATGACAATAATCCAAGGCCCTTCCTCACTCTGGCTCCGCACCAGAAGGGGAGCAGGGCCAGCAAACGCATTCCTACGTCTAAATTGGATCTCCTTATTGAAATAAAATACTTGAATATCATACAAGCATTTCTTAGCCCCCAAACAGATTCTATTTTAACCCTTCCAGAAGTTAAACTGGCACAGGAGTGTTCATTAACATCATGCTAGCAGATACCCAAAGAAAACTCTACCCAGCTGGTGGTAACTTTATCTTCTGTCAGTTTCTACCTATAAAAGCCAACTCTGTTTCATTCCCTTTCATGCTTCTGTTCTTGAAAAGTGTGTAATAAATGCTACACGTTAAAGGTGAGGCCCTGGGAAAATCTCGAGGCTGAACAAACATTGTTTTGAACACTCTTTCAAGCTACCGCCCTTTTTATAGGGCCTCTGTAACTACAGCTCCCCAGGAGCACAGTTCTCCTAATGCAGTAGTGTACAAACGAGTCCAGGGCACCTGCAGTTGAAACATGTCTTGTGTGTAGAAATTACTTTCTGAGGTCAATACCACTGCACCTAGTCTAATGAGTCTTGGCGTTTAATCCTAGAATTGAGCTTTATGTATTGGTAAGCCCTGGAGCTGCCAAGTGTTTCCCTCTTAAATCTAGATTTGGCTTCCCAAGAGAGTTGTGGTCTCTACTCTAATTACCACCAAATTGTGACCTTAATTCATTTGGCCGGAATTTGAATCACAGTACAAACTGACTTATCTTTGACTCTGACTAGCTTATCGTTACTATCATACCTGGCTGCTAGATTGCAATTCTAGCCCTTGAAGTGACTTTATAAAACTAAGTATTTAGGACCTGTTATTTGTGATCCTCATTTGAAGGATATAAGGAGGAGCCATGTATGGTGGTATAGCATAATGGCTTCTTTTGGGGGATAGTGTCATAATGCTTATTATGAGTACGTTTGCCTGAATACCTGAGGCATGATAGTTTCAGCTAATGATATGGTCTGGCCTGATAAGCACTATGTCCATTTAAAGATAACTCAGTCTCTGCCTTCCAGAATGAAACTCCCTGTTTAAGTTATTGATCACTTCCTGTAAGAGTCCTTTGTGGTGCTCATCTCAAATTAATTTCTGGTCTTCAGCTCTTTTCTCTGTCCTTTATTTCTGCTCTTATTCAAGTGTCCCTGCATCTTTTACATGGTGAGACTGTTCCCAGTATCCCAGGGATTTGACTATTGATATAACTGCACTTCAGCTTTTAAATTAAGCTAGAAAGCTAGGATTCATGATCAAAGATCTGTAGGTTAGATTTTGGGATAAAAGTGTTGAAAGGCAGTCCTGATGCACTTTCAGTGGGGCGTGCTCTCTCTCAACAGGCAACATCACATGCAGCTCTGACGAGTTCACTTGCTCCAGTGGCCGCTGCATCTCCAGGAATTTTGTGTGCAACGGCCAGGACGACTGTAACGATGGCAGCGATGAGCTCAACTGTGCCCCGCCGTCCTGCGGTGCCCACGAGTTCCAGTGCAGCGCCTCGTCCTGCATCCCCCTCAGCTGGGTGTGTGACGATGATGCCGACTGCTCCGACCAGTCTGATGAGTCCCTGGAGCAGTGTGGCCGCCAGCCAGTGATACACACCAAGTGCCCAGCCAGCGAGATCCAATGTGGCTCTGGCGAGTGCATCCACAAGAAGTGGCGATGTGACGGAGATCCTGACTGCAGGGACGGCAGCGATGAGGTCAACTGTCGTACGTAGCGTTCTCATCAGTATGGCACGTTCGGTTCCCTTCCATGTAGTCACCGGGGACAACTTGGCTGGCTTCAACCCATGGTGTTCCCTCCCTTTGTAGCTTCTCGAACCTGCCGACCTGACCAGTTCGAATGCGAGGATGGCAGCTGCATCCATGGCAGCAGGCAGTGTAACGGTATCCGAGACTGTGTCGATGGCTCTGATGAAGTCAACTGCAAAAATGGTAAGGGTCTCTTCACGTGGGTTTGTCAAAGGACTGCTCTGATCAGACCCACTCATGGAATCTCTCGTCTGTGTTTCTCTTTGTAGTCAATCAGTGCTTGGGCCCCGGAAAGTTCAAGTGCAGAAGCGGGGAATGCATAGATATCATTAAAGTATGTAACCAGGAACAGGACTGCAGGGACTGGAGCGATGAACCCCTGAAAGAATGTCGTAAGTGAAGGAGTTGCTTGGGGACAGAGCTGGGATGGTTAATTAGATCTGGCTTGGCTAATGGTGTTTGGACCCTGCATAATATCTGGTTAAACTATGTACTTTTAATGAACTAAGTTCAATTGTTGGACTTAAGAGTGAATTTTTAAAAAAGAAAATATATTTTTATTTCAGAGAGGAAGGGAGAGGGAGAGAGAGAGATAGAAACATCAATTATGAGAGAGAGTCATTGATCAGCAGCCTCCTGCACACCCCCTGCTGGGGATCGAGCCCACACCCCAGGCATATGCCCTGACTGGGAATCAAACCACGACCTCCTGGTTCATAGGTAGACACTCAACCACTGAGCCATGCCAGATGGGCAAGAGTGGTTTTTATGACTTAAGAGCCCAAGCAGTGACAAACTAGTTCCTAATTTACCTCCTTAAAGATAACTGATCAGTAATAGAGAAACTTGACTGAAGCCTGGTTAACCAAGTGGCCAAGGAGATGGGGTCTATTAGTCCCCCAGTATACTCTAAGATGCATCTTTATAGGAAAAATTATTAGAGCTTGGAAAAAATCATAGGTTTGACCAGACTAACTAGATAAGAAGTTATTGCACATAGCCTGGATTTTAAATGTTAATACGACAAATATCAATTTGAAATAAGTTATCAAATAACTCTACTTGGCATTGTTATTTCAGATGTAAATGAATGCTTGGTTAATAACGGTGGATGTTCCCATATCTGCAGAGACCTAGTTATAGGCTACGAATGTGACTGCGCAGCAGGGTTTGAGCTGATAGATAGGAAAACCTGTGGAGGTGAGTCAAAGAAGAGAGCCTAAGCCCTGGGGGTGATGGGAAAGGACAGTCTATCTCTGTAGGTTATCCAGGAACAGCAAGACTAATTCTAATTTCCCTCCTAGATATTGATGAATGCCAAAATCCGGGAATCTGCAGTCAAATTTGTATCAACTTAAAAGGCGGATACAAGTGTGAATGTAGTCGTGGCTACCAAATGGATCTCGCGAGCGGTGTGTGCAAGGCTGTAGGTAAATGGACTTGGACTGGTGTTGCTCTGGTACCTTTATGAGTAAATGCTTGTGAAAGGTACAGCCAATGACTATAATAGTCAAACTAAATATGAAATCAAAATAGTGCCTGAGAGCAATGCTACTAAACTCAAAGTGCATTCTCTGTCATAGGTTAAATAGAGTTCATTTGCCCAGATTCCTGCCTTGGTCGATTCCTTTTGCACATGATACCATGAGTACCTGCCAGGTTTGCTTACTTTCTGCTTCCGAAACTGGAGTGCAATTCAAATAAGTAACTTATTCACCAGCTGCCCTATTGTTGAATGCTGAGACTTCAGAACTGCCTTCTTAAGCAGTGGGAAGCACTTGCAGGTCTCCGGGGCACTGGCTCTGACACAAGTACTCCTGAGGTGTTCAGTAGTGGCTTCCCTTTTTAAGTGCTGCTCTGTTGGGGGGAGGTAACTTAGAAGGCCCTTGCCCTCTTACAGCAAAACTAAATAAACTTGACTCGTGTCTTGCAGGCAAAGAGCCAAGTCTGATTTTCACTAATCGAAGAGACATCAGGAAGATTGGCTTAGAGAGGAAAGAATATATCCAACTAGTTGAACAGCTAAGAAACACCGTGGCCCTCGATGCTGACATTGCTGCTCAGAAACTATTCTGGGCTGATCTAAGCCAAAAGGCCATCTTCAGGTAACTTTCAGTTCCATTCTTGGTGTCTTGGCCTAAGTCATTGTCACTTGTCCTTTGGGAAGGTTTGGATGAATTGCTCTTGTCTCAATCTAACATCTAATTAGCTGGAAACAGTAAATCTAAACATGGATTCTTTAACTTTTAAATTACTATCAGTTCCTCACTGGAAATGAACAGTTACCTATGAAGCAAAAGATGGCTACAGCCATGAGTATAACATGACATTTTAATTTCTCCTGTGTATTCCTCTTTCTCTACGGTTAATTGAGAACTGTTTATGGTTGCTACAAATAGAAATGGTAGTGCAGCTTTTTTCTTTTTTTTTTCCTTCTTGTTTGTTAATCTTCACCCAAGGATTTTTTTCCCATTGATTTTTATTTTATTTATTTGTTTGTTTGTTTATTTATTTATTTATTTATTTATTTAAAATATATCTTCATTGATTTCAGAGAGAGGAAGGGAGAGGGAGAGAGAGAGAGAGAAACATCAGTGATGAGAAAGTCATTGATCGGCTGCCTCCTGCTCGCCCCCGTCTGGAGATTGAGCCCAAAACCCGGGCATGTGCCCTGACCAGGAATCGAACCGCATCTCCTGGATCCTAGGTGGATGCTTAACCACTGAGCCACACCCAGCTGGGCCCCATTGATTTTTAGAGAGAGTGGAAGGGAGGGGGAGAGAGAAAGAAACATTGATGTGAGAAAGACACATGGATAGGCTACCTCCCAATGTACCCTGCTCTATAGGCACCCTAATCTGGGCCAGAAATCAGACCTGCACCCAGGCATGTGCCCTTAACCAGGAACTGAACCCTTTGTTGCATGGACTGATGCTCCAACCACTGAGCCACACTGGCCAGGGCAGTGCAGCTTTTTCTTAATGGGAACTGTAGAAACTCAGATGATGGGTACTGAAATCAATAGCTTCACTTAGAAGTGTGTGGGTCTTGTATATAGAATACATACAGCAACTAGATAACCTATGTTATTGTTAATTTAGTATCAGTGAGCAGCACGATTCAATCAATTGAGTGGTGAGCAGTGTTACTAGGGTTCTTTCCAAACAAAGTTGTGGACCATTTTGTAAGCAGAAATTCTGTTCTCCAGGCTCTGATGGTGTCAAACTCTGAAATTTCTTGTGACCTACTCTGTTTCAGTGCCTCACTTGATGACAAGGTTGGTAGACATGTTAAAATGATCGACAATGTCTATAATCCTGCAGCCATCGCTGTTGATTGGGTGTACAAGACCATCTACTGGACTGACGCGGCTTCTAAGACTATTTCAGTAGCTACCCTGGACGGAACCAAGAGGAAGCTCCTGTTTAACTCTGACTTGAGAGAGCCTGCCTCCATAGCTGTGGACCCCTTATCTGGGTTTGTATTCTGTATTTTGCACTATATAACCTTTTGGATGCTGTCTGCATTGGCCAGGAGCTTTCCTCATGCCTGAAGTAGAACTGAAATACCCAGACATATCAGCCACCCACAAGAAAGAATTGTCTGGCCCAAGATGTCATGGTGCCACCTATATGACAGGTCCTCCCAGGGCAATATGAGTGCTGGTTAAGGAAACAATGTTTTTGACTTGATGTACACCAAAAGGTGTATCTGAGCCCTTGTACCCAATTAGCTTCTACATAAGGAAATTTTTGCCTAAATGCTTTGTCAGGTTAGCTCTTGGTAATCAAACCTAAGTCTTAGCATGAGTTGTGAGGATTTTGTAACCACATTACCCCAAGACTTTTATCTAAATGTGCAAGTTGTCCAAAAGTGCCGTTGAAATCAACAGACCTCGCTAGAAACATTTCACTGAGGGGTTTCATAAATTGCCACTAAATAACATTAAAAACAACAACAAAAAAAAGCTAAGGAAGCTAAGCCTGAGGTAATCAAAAATGGCCCCATTGCAACCTCACCAGCACATAGTCAGCTACCCCTGCTATAAAACTTAACAGTCATCTTCACTCCTCTGAAAGAATCGGCCTTTTAAAAATGGAATATATAACCTGTGACCATTGGCTGACTTAAAAACATCAATATAGTGAAAATGAGCTTGTAGATTCTCAATGTTAATTTTGTTTATACAGAACATAATTTATAGCCTAAGGAGTGATTATTTGTCATAATCAATCCCTAGAGTTTTCTGTTCACTCTTTGAATGTTTGTCCTAAGCTACAACTTTATTCATTCTAAACCACTGAAGCTTGTTTCTAATTTAATTCTTCCCAGGTTCGTTTACTGGTCAGACTGGGGTGAACCAGCTAAAATAGAAAAAGCAGGAATGAATGGATTTGACAGACGGCCACTGGTGGCAGTGGATATCCAATGGCCTAATGGAATTACACTTGGTATGTATGTTCTTCCTACATCGACCACCAATTCTACAGCCTTCATTGAGCTTTAATTGATCTCCATAGTTAATTCTGGACTATAGCAGACAATCCTACAGCAGTGATTTTGGATGGAAATAACTGGGCAATACAAATGGAATGATGAATTTAAATTACATACTGTGTAATTACTAGCTTTTATGTCCATTTGGGCCTAATATCTACATGAATTCAGTGAATTGTGGGTCTTAGGGACTCTCACTCTAAATACTCCTGGCCCAGGTGCCTTAGCATTTCCTGAATTGCTGGGCTTATAACAGTTTTCTTCTGGCTCATAAAGAGAGAGCAACAAAATGATAGCTTCTTTTAAAACTTCTGTCACGTGAGTAACATTTCTTAAGTCAGTTACTTTGAGAATATTAGGTACCCCTTTCGTTTCCCAAAATCCATGTATAGATTTGGTATGCTGTTTCACAAGATTTGTGGGATCCCATTAAGAATCCCTGCTGGAGCAGGAACCATGAAAGTTGAATATTGGATTCCTTCGATATTTTAAATGGGAGCCAGAGCAATGCGGACTTACCACACAATGAAGTTCTTCTCCTGCCTAGACCTTATAAAGAGCCGTCTTTATTGGCTGGATTCCAAGTTGCACATGTTATCCAGTGTGGACCTGAATGGCCAGGATCGTAGGATAGTGCTGAAGTCTCTGGAGTTCCTAGCTCATCCTCTTGCACTGACGATATTTGAGGTAAGACCGGTGCCTCACGTCTAAGTTATAGTTACTGTAGCCCCTTGGGGAGAAGGAGAAGGCATGGGGGAAGGAGGGAAGGGCAGAGGAGCATGACCTGAGAAGCTGCTTTACTTAAAACCTAAGTTAAATGCTGAGTCTTTGTAGCACTTTAAGGAACCTGCACTTGCTTCTCTTATAGTTTTACACTGAGTATCCCAGACCAGCCTTAAATAAACTTGGCCCATTAAATTGCCAGTAAATAATAATGACCTTAGTTAGATAGAGACTTGTGCTAATCTTACATGTATGTGCTAATTTGGGGTTTCTATTTTAGGATCGTGTCTACTGGATAGATGGGGAAAATGAAGCCGTCTATGGTGCCAATAAATTCACAGGGTCGGAGCTGGCCACTCTAGTTAACAACCTTAATGATGCCCAAGACATCATTGTCTATCATGAACTTGTACAGCCATCAGGTAACCTGGGGAAGCAGGACCCTTCATGGCTACTTTAAGGGCAGGAGCATGACACAGTACCTGCCGGGTATCAGTAACTCTTTAGCAATTCAACCTGCTCTAAAATGGAACTTTTCCCTTCTATACTCTACCAAACACTTCACACCTGGTGTTTGGTATATTTTATTTCTGACTTCCTAGTAAAAGAGCTTCAGGACTTCAGCTCTTACCTTCCCTCCCAACCCTCCATGTTCAGTCTTTTATTTCAATCTTTTCCATATACCCTTGGCCTTCCTTCCCTCTTGCTAAGACTATGGCACTAGCCTCCAAAGCGCCACGAACTTTCCCTTCCTCCATCCCTATGACACATCTTGTATAGGATTGTGTCGATGCTCAGACACATCTGGCCATACTGTCTCCCCAAAATACTTGACTGGTTCTATCTAAATGAAACTTTTAACATCAAACTAGAGAGTTTTTGCACAGCAAAGGAAACTGTGAACAAAACAAAAAGACAACCTACTGAATGGGAGAAAATATTTGGAAATGATACATCCAATAAAGGGTTAATATCCAAAATATATAAAGAACTCGTATAACTTAACACCAAAAAAACCCAAACAAAACCCAAACAACCAAATTAAAAAATGGGCAGAGGCCCTCGGTAGACATTTCTCCCAAGACAACATACAAATGGCAAACAGACATATGAAAAGATGCTCAATGTCACTAATCTTCAGGGAAATGCAAATAAAAATCCCAATGAGATATCACCTCACACCTGTCAGATGGCTATCATCAATAAATCAACAAACAACAAGTGTTGGTGAGGATGTGGAGAAAAGGGAACCCTTATGCGCTGTTGGTGGGATTGTAAATTAGTAGAGCCATATGGAAAACAGTATGGAGATTCTTCAAAAAATTAAAAATAGAACTGCCAAATGATCCAGTAATTCCATGTCTTGGTATTTGCCCAAAGAAAACAAAAATACTAATTCAAAAAGATATATGCATCCCTATGTTCATTGCAACATTATTAGTAATAGCCAAGATATGGAAGCAACCTAGATATCCATCGGTAGATGAATAAAGAAGCTGTGAGATATCTTTATAATACCTCCCAAGACAACATACGAATGAAAATATTTGCCAACAGACATATGAAAAGATGCTCAACATCATCTTATTATGCTAAGTGAAATAAGTCAGAGAAAGACAAAGACCATATGATTTATATGTGGAGTCTAAAAATCAAAATAAATGAACAAACAGAAACAGACCACAGATACAGAAGAGAACAAGCCGATGGTTGCCAAAGGGGAGGGGGGAGGGGAGGGGAATAAATAAATTTTTTTAAATTCTATCAAGTGACAGGTACAGTTCCAGGCCTGGAGATATAGGTTGAAAAAGACTAAGCTTTAGAATCCATAGAATAGAATGCTCGCAGTTTCTAGTGGCCCTAAAGCACATTCATTAAAAAAAAAAGAAAGAACGTAGAAGTAAATCTTTATGTCCTTGGGTTAATGGTTTCTAATATATGATACCAAAAACACAAGTGACAGAAGAAATAGGTAAATAGAACTTCATCAGAATTTTTTTAAATGTTGAGATTCAAAGTAAGAGAACTTCATCAGAATTTTTTAAAATTTTGGGATTCAAAGTATGCTTTCAAAAAAGTGAAAAGGCAACCCAAGAATGGGAGAAAATATTTGCAAATCATAAAGCCAGTAAGAATCTATTACACAGAATATATAAAGGGCTCTTTCTTACAACTCAAAAATAAAAAAGAGCAAATACTCCAATTAAAAAATGTGTAAATGATTTGAGTAGACATTTCTCCAAAGAAGCTCTACATGTCCAATAAGTACATCAAAACCTTTAGGCATTAGGGAAATACAATGACTAAGCCGCAGTTCGGTACACTTCACAAATCTTAATATTGCTAAATGAAAGGAGAGTGTTTGAAAAGAACACATGCTGTGTAAGTACATTTATATGACACCTTGGAAAGGGAAAACTAGAGAGAGAATAAGCAGATTCGTGGTTACCAGGAGCTTGAGTGAGGAAGGCTGATTAGGCAAAAGAGAACCGTGTGTATATGGTGGTTGGGTGGGTGCATGTATAAAAATGAATGAATGAAACCCTTAAACTTCCATATAGCTGGGTTCCTTCCACTCTGTGGGAATGAGGCAAGACAAAGCCAGGAGAACGTGCTCATCTCCTTCCTCTGAGCCTTTACCTTATGCTTTGAACCAGTAATTAGTGCTCCTCCTGGTTACTCGCCTCCATTCCCGCCTGCTCCCTCACCATCTGCTTAAGGCGTAACTCTTGCTCTACTTCCAAGAAGTTTCTTTGCATCTGTGGTGTCCTTAGAGCATGCTCTCTGTACCCTTATATTTATTCTTCATTGGTATCATTTTAACTTGAAGGTTGGGCAGAGCAGACAGGTTTAAGTTCCTTGGGGAAAAAGACTCATGTCTTCAGCATCTAGAACAGGACTTGATGTATATAACAGCCACTGGAGTACATATTTTAAAGGACTTTTGTTCCTGACCAGGTAAAAACTGGTGTGAAGAAGACACGGAGAACGGAGGATGTGAATACCTCTGCCTGCCAGCACCGCAGATTAGTGATCACTCTCCAAAATACACCTGCTCCTGTCCCAGTGGGTACAATCTACAGGCAAATGGCCGGGAGTGCCAAAGTAAGGCTTTTTACTTTTCAACCACCAGCAGGACATACAACAGGCAATAGAATAAGACACTAGCTATAAAAAACTAGCCTGAATTTTAAGAATTCTGATTTAACTCTTGGAATAGCTTTGAGAACACAGCTGGTACTATTGCCTACCAGGTGTTCATGTCATTACTTCACAGTTGACTTTTAACTCATTTCAACACTAGATGAGTCTATAGATGACACTTCAGTCAAAGTATTAACAGGCCTTGTACTGATTTGTGCCAATTAGTCCCATAACAACTCTGAGCTAGCCAACTTGCAGATAAATAGAACAAAGCCTTAACATCTTCCTACAAAGAGAGAGGCCTGAAATTATGCTTAAAGGTGGTTATGGTTACAGGAAACCTCATGGCCCCAGTGGGTGACACCATCTTAAACTCGTGCTTAAATCAAACTTACATTTTAGTCTTCTGTTCTTAGCTTTTGATTAAGTGGCAAATTAAATGCGTATGTTGTGAGCAAGGAACTCATCCTGTGAGGTTTTTATTAGTTTAATACTGAGTCCCTGCAGGGACTAGCTCAGTGTACTGAGAAAGTAGTTGCAAGACAACCTGGCGATAAGAGTAGTATGCCTGGTAATGTTTTCAAGAGCATTTCTTGCAACTTTCAGGAGCCTGGACATTGCCTAGAGGGGTCAGGAAGTGTGGCATCTTTTGAACTGTCAGATTTCAAATACTGCCTCTTCTGCCCAAAGTCTCATGTGTCTGGTTTTGTCTGAAGACTGCTGTTTCTCCCAGTTCTGACACATCTACCATGCAACTTAGTTCAGCAGTAGTTTGTCTGTTTCTCATGGAGTTAAAATAGCCTATCCCAGGGCTTGTCTGGACTAAACAGCTAGACACTCTGGAACTTTGGCCTTGACCAGGTTCTTGGTTTTTATGATTCAGGTACTGCAACTACTATGATTTACAGTGAGACAAAAGATACCAACACAACAGAAATTTCACCAACTAGTGGACTAGTTCCTGGAGGTATTGGGTTCAGTACTGCAAACCATTAATCTCAACTAACAGCCACACTTGGTATCTGTTAATTAATATAGCCTTTAACTACTAGTTCTGCCCCAATTGGTAACCTACATTTAAACTTTAAAGACTAAGAAGCTGCAAGTCTTAGCCTGACCTGACTCACTAAGAATTGTGTTAGAGAAATGATCATGAAATGGCTATTACAGCATGTGACTCACATAGTTTTACATCAGTTGTTGCTGGTACACAATTGTAGTAGATACTGAACAATGAGTGATGGATGCAACCATGTGAGGTTCTCTACCTGACGAGAACATTTCTAAGTCTGAATTCAGATCCTTCTAAACTGATTCTTTTTATTCCCCTGTAGGGATCAATGTGACCACAGCAGTATCAGAGGTCAGTGTTCCCCCAAAAGGAACTTCTGCTGCCTGGGCCATCCTTCCCCTCTGTAAGTAGATTCTTTATATATCTGGATCCCGTGAACTTGTTAGACACCAAATGGGCATTTGTAGTTAAGTTAGAGTCACCCCTCCCATGGCCCCTGGTACTGTCATAGAACTCATGACACTGAGTTACACTGGCTCCCTCCCCAACATGGTACACTGAGTTGAGAGTCCATGCCTTTCTCTTTAGAGGTATCCTTCACGCAGTGACTGGCAGTGATAAATTATGTTCAACTATTACATGAAGAAGGGTGCTTATTGCTTTCTACTTCAGAGTGGTTAGTCTGACTTACCCCCTTTCCCAGTAAGCTCCTTTAAGTAAAGAGCACTGTTCTATTCCCCTTTGAAATATATAATGCTTCATACAGAGGAGATACAGTGCTTAAATGCTTTCTTGAAGAACTATAGGACTTGAAGGGAGTAGGTTAAAAATAGTTAAGAATTTTCAAACTCAGGAAGATGAGCCTCTAAAGCAACTAATTAGGGATGTGAATTCTAAGGCACTATGCTATAATGGCCTCTTATCCTAAATTACTGGATTCCAAGCTGAGCTAACAGAGTAAGAGGACCACTTGAAGAACTCTCCGGAACCTTCTGCAATATTAATTCAGTCAGCTTGAGGAGGGGCCCAAGACACTACATTTGCCCAGACCGATGTGCAGAACTCACCAGTCTATGGAATATCACTGAACCACTGGTCTGAGCTTGTTTCAAGCTCCTGGCTCAATTATATTCTAACTTCTAGTTATCCCAGCTTCATAAAATGAGAAAGTTTTACGAATGTCAATTATCATGGATCTGTGAACATGATCTTTGTTCTGTGTTTTGAGACTAAACCTTGCTTAGTGACCTTTTGATTTTTTCAGTGCTCTTAGCAATGGCAGCAGCAGGTGGCTACTTGATGTGGCGGAACTGGCAACACAAGAACATGAAAAGCATGAACTTTGACAATCCTGTGTACCTGAAGACCACTGAAGAGGACCTGTCCATAGACATTGGTAGACACAGTGCTTCTGTTGGACACACGTACCCAGCAGTAAGTCAGCTGTGTGTCTTTTGGTGCCATGGCTTGCAGTACGACTGTTTGGAAAAGAGACTTCAGACTCAAGCTATGGGCTGCCTGGGCTAGGAAGAGCCAGTAGAATCCTGGACCCACCAAATATTTCATTTACTGGAGATTAGATAGTCTAGCCTCTTAGAACGTAAGTCAGTCAGTTGATAAGCATCTGCCCCATACAGAATGACAAGTAAGTCAACTTCAGGTCATCACTACACTCTTAGAGATATTTTTGGTTATAGAAACTATATGTAAATATTTGCATGAACCAAGTAGCTCCTTTTTGAACTGTTATAAATAAGTAAATTAGCATATCATATATAGACAAGTTGGCTTAAAGTCAGTAGACTCAGTCACTTGTTCTTTAGTTGAAGCCCAAATGGAGTATTTGGCCTTTGCTTAGGGAACAGTCTGAACAAAACAAGTGTTGAGCCCTTCCTCTCAAGCTCTCTGGTAACACAAAGAATGGGAGCCAATTCATGGCACATGTGTGTCTTTTCATATTTTTCTCCAGGACTTAAGATCATTAAGCAGAACAGGCAGAATCAGTCACACTATTTCCTTTATCAAATAGATACAGTTAAATTCAAGTTAAAATGCATTACTGACACAACTCAACACTATTATGATCTGACTTCCCTTCTGTTCACCTTTGATTTCTGAATGATCAACTCAAAAGCAAGGCCCATTTTAGAGACAAGAGTTGCTACCAATGACTCCAGGACTTAAGATCATTAAGCAGAACAGGCAGAATCAGTCACACTATTTCCTCTATCAAATAGATACAGTTAAATTCAAGTTAAAATGCATTACTGACACAACTCAACACTATTATGATCTGACTTCCCTTCTGTTCACCTTTGATTTCTGAATGATCAACTCAAAAGCAAGGCCCATTTTAGAGACAAGAGTTGCTACCAATGACTCCAGGACTTAAGATCATTAAGCAGAACAGGCAGAATCAGTCACACTATTTCCTCTATCAAATAGATACAGTTAAATTCAAGTTAAAATGCATTACTGACACAACTCAACACTATTATGATCTGACTTCCCTTCTGTTCACCTTTGATTTCTGAATGATCAACTCAAAAGCAAGGCCCATTTTAGAGACAAGAGTTGCTACCAATGACTCCAGGACTTAAGATCATTAAGCAGAACAGGCAGAATCAGTCACACTATTTCCTCTATCAAATAGATACAGTTAAATTCAAGTTAAAATGCATTACTGACACAACTCAACACTATTATGATCTGACTTCCCTTCTGTTCACCTTTGATTTCTGAATGATCAACTCAAAAGCAAGGCCCATTTTAGAGACAAGAGTTGCTACCAATGACTCCAGGACTTAAGATCATTAAGCAGAACAGGCAGAATCAGTCACACTATTTCCTCTATCAAATAGATACAGTTAAATTCAAGTTAAAATGCATTACTGACACAACTCAACACTATTATGATCTGACTTCCCTTCTGTTCACCTTTGATTTCTGAATGATCAACTCAAAAGCAAGGCCCATTTTAGAGACAAGAGTTGCTACCAATGACTCCAGGACTTAAGATCATTAAGCAGAACAGGCAGAATCAGTCACACTATTTCCTCTATCAAATAGATACAGTTAAATTCAAGTTAAAATGCATTACTGACACAACTCAACACTATTATGATCTGACTTCCCTTCTGTTCACCTTTGATTTCTGAATGATCAACTCAAAAGCAAGGCCCATTTTAGAGACAAGAGTTGCTACCAATGACTCCAGGACTTAAGATCATTAAGCAGAACAGGCAGAATCAGTCACACTATTTCCTCTATCAAATAGATACAGTTAAATTCAAGTTAAAATGCATTACTGACACAACTCAACACTATTATGATCTGACTTCCCTTCTGTTCACCTTTGATTTCTGAATGATCAACTCAAAAGCAAGGCCCATTTTAGAGACAAGAGTTGCTACCAATGACTCCAGGACTTAAGATCATTAAGCAGAACAGGCAGAATCAGTCACACTATTTCCTCTATCAAATAGATACAGTTAAATTCAAGTTAAAATGCATTACTGACACAACTCAACACTATTATGATCTGACTTCCCTTCTGTTCACCTTTGATTTCTGAATGATCAACTCAAAAGCAAGGCCCATTTTAGAGACAAGAGTTGCTACCAATGAGTGATCACCAAGCTCACTCTCTATTTTTTTCTTTTCCACAGATATCAATTGTAAGCACAGATGATGATCTAGCTTGACTTCTGAGACATGTCTCGACCTTTGAGGTCTAAACCAATAATTCCCCAATTTGGAATGGTAACCGAGCCAGCAGCTGAAGTCTCTTTCTTCCTCCAGCCTGGAAGAACATCAAGATATCTTTGCGTGGATCAAGCTTGTGTACTTGACCATTTTTATATGACTTTCATAAATACTCCTGTCCACATTCTGCTTCAGCTTTGGATGTGGTTACCTGTAACCCTTGAATTTCTAGACAGTATTGCCACCTCTGGCCAAATATGCACTTTCCCTAGAAAGCCATATTCCAGCAATGAAACTTGTGCTATAGTGTATACCACCTGTATATACATTGTATAGGCCACCTGTAAATATCCCAGAGAACAATCAATATTCTTAAGCACTTTGAAAATATTTCTATGTAAATTATTGTAAACTTTTTCAATGGTTGGGACAATGGCAATAGGATAAAACGGGTTACTAAGATGAAATTGCCAAAAAATTTGTAAACTAATTTTGTACCTATGAATGAAATCTTTGACCTCAATGGAGGTTTGCAAAGACTGAGTGTTCAAACTACTGTACATTTTTTTTCAAGTGCTAAAAAAAATTAAACTCAGCAGCTTAACCATGGTTTGTGCCTATTCCTCTAGGAAAAACTATAAACAGTCTTAGTAGTATGAAATGTTCTAACTAAATATATAAGCTATAAATCTTCATGTTGCATAACTAAGCCTATAATTCCACTAGTTTTTTTTTATAACCAAACACTAAAAGGACAAGGTACCACTTAATATTTCTCTCCAATAATTTATTTTGTAAAAAAAAAAAATCTAGGGAAGTATGTACCTAGAATCTCTGACTTAGAGGAACGTTTCTTTTCTCATTAATTTGTTTCCTAATCTATAAATATATGCTAAGATTTCTATCAATTCTGCTTCTTCATATTAAATCTTAGTTTTCCATGTTCTATAACTATATATGGTTCAAGGGCGAGTGCCTTCTAAGGCATGGGAGAGGACCTTCTTCTTCTGTAAGTCTAGACAGTCTACCCCGGAGAGAACTAGGAAGGATAAGCAGGACCATTCTTGAACAACCTAAAGCGGCGGTTCTCAGTGGGGCTAAGGTCAGCATCCGCAGCATCTGGGAACTTGTTAAAGATACTAAATCAGAAACTCTGGAGGCGGGGTCCAGGACTATGTGTTTTCACAAGCCCTTCATGTGATTCTGATGTAAACTAATGTTTGACAAACACTGTTCTAATGTTATTTCATGAAGGATCTGTACTTTCTCCTAATCTTTCAGTCTGGCTGGCATAGGATGGATTCCTTCCACAGACAATTTCTGAAACATTTAATATGAAGGGCAGATAAGGAATTTAGGTACAAGAAAAAGTAGCACAGGGATTTAGCAAGCTTTCCATCAGATTGGCCATGACTTCCTTTCTCTGAAGGCTCAGGATACCTGCAAGTAAAAGAAGATACAAGACTTGAAGCCCTGGGAAGACGCTCTAAGTCCAAATCGAGGTGGAGAGTCAACTGCAGAAGGTGCAGCGATTGCTTGGGGTAACAAGGAGACGAAGAGAAGATGCTTGAGTAGCTAACTGGATTGGTGGTTGTCTCCTATTCTACTCACACACAGAATGTAAATAAGACAGTTGACATCTTGCTTATGGCTTAGGCAAAGAGGTCCACAACGTGAAGAAGTTGCTTCTGTCATCCCGTTTAATAGATGCCCTCTTGTGTTTTTGGTCAAATGGATGAAAGTGAAAGGCAAGGCATAGGAGGTGTAGAGGTCAAGCATATGGAGGAAAAGGCTGTGGTCAGGGAAGGTAGGACTCCATGCGATCCACCTGCTCTTCCCTCTTCAACTAGTCATACTTCACAGGATGTGGCCTGTTGACATGAGGTACCTGAAGTGCCTACTTGATTAGTAGGTTAGCATTCATCATATCTAAACTCTGAAGACCATTTGGTTGACTAGTACTTTGATCCTGCTGTGGTAAAAAAGCCCACCGATTAATTTTTTTAAATTGGAGCAATACAAAATTCTTTCCTAAGAAGCTTAATGATCTGAGTGTTACAAGTATTATATAGTATTAGTCAACTATAAGGCCCAAAGTCATCATTTTTAAGAACAAAATCAAGTGTTATTCTCTAGTATCTTCTCTTGGATGCCAGTTCCTGGTGTGTTCCTTCAGGTTCTACGTCCCGATGTGCAACCTTCAAGGAGTCTAAACCATCTTTCTTTTACCTTGCCCTCCCCAGTAAGTAGCCAAGGGCAGAAACTCTAACTTAAGAGGAACAAACTGATTTGAAGAAATGAAACACTTAGATATTTTTATTGAAATAAGAAGAGTTATGCGGCTAGTCAACTCATCATGTAACAGTCATTGATGAGGGACCAGAACCTTGGGCTCCAGCATTCAAACATGAACCTCAAGACTCCTCTGCGAAATGTATTGGCATAAGCTTGCTGTGTCTCTAGAGGTTACTGTAGGAGATGAGAGTGAAGTGGTAAAACGTGAAGCTTATCCAACACTGAAGGATGATACTTGGAGTTAAATGAGCCTGTCACACAAAACCACTGAAAGTGGGTCCTCCAGACACTTTAGGAATTGCTCCTAAGACTGATGAAAAGGGTTAACAGATTTGTGGCCCCTGGTGAAGAAATCCAGTCAAGTCCCTGAGTCCAAGTTTTTAAGTGGCCTTTCCAAACTATCTACTTGGTGAGAAATAGTCCCAGTTGTTCAACCAGCTCCCTTAACACATTCTTATAGCTATTTTAAAGCTTCGGTATAATTTCCAAGCCACTGATGTTCTGCTCTTGATGGGAACACAAGGAAATAACAATAACAACAACAATAATAATAATAGTAAGGCTTCCACTTTGGCTCTTGCTTCCATTCCTTATATCCAAGTCAGACAGCCCTTCTCAAAAAAAAAAAAAAAAAATTAAAAAATGAGAAGACAGACTTTAAATAGCAAAACTATAGGACATTTAAAGGACTAACTCTTGCCTGGCCAGGCGTGGCTCAGCGGTTGAGCGTCGACCTGAGATCCAGGCGATCAGGGTTCAATTCCCGGTCAGGGCACATGCCCGGTTGTGGGCTCGATCAATGACTCTCTCATCATTGATGTTTCTGTCTCTCTCTCTCTCTCTCTCCCTCTCCTTTCCTCTCTCTGAAATCAATAAAGATATATTTAAAAAACAAAAAAACAAAACAAAAAAAGACTAACTCTTCAGTTAACACTTAGAAATGGGAGACTTTAAAGTTTAATGTTTTAACCATCCTCAACCCCAACCAAAAAATTCTGGTGGGATGTACTCCTGTATTGGGTAGTCTAAATGGAGTAATTTCCTAGACTTCTTACCTAGGGAAACAACTTATTATTTGTACCCAAATGAAAACTAGAATCCTTGCTTTGCTTTTAATGGTGAGGAAACTCGCAAAACAAACAAACAAACAAAAGCCGTATACACTTTTGCTATGTAACGTAGGTCCAAGAGGGAAGAATACAACCTGCTAATCCTGATCACTGAGTTGGAGGCCTTTGGTTTCATAGTCAAGTGTTCAGCCTTACTCTCTGGGAAAACAGAGTTTTATGTCCCAGTTTCAGGCATATCATGGATCTCAACTATAGAAGTTAAGGAATATGCAAAAGTAGTAAAGGTCTTCAAAGGTATCTTGTTTCCAAATACAGGAGGAATGAATATGAAGATTAAACAATGGCTTATTTTTTGGACTCATTTCTCACAAATCAAGCATGGAAGCCTTCCAGCTCAAACAGCTTCATGCGAAGGGCCATCAGCCTTCTTTGTATGTTTCACACATGAGAAGCTCAATGTGAGTTAGCAGTGAGGTCCTATGTGGGAAATTTGGGAGACCATAGACAAACTACTAGGAAACATCACAGTAACGGTCCATCTCTCTATTGTCTCCTGAATCCGTTTAGCATTTTTGAGGCTGGCTCATTAGAGAAACGGGAACAAAACTGGGCCCACTGGCTGACAGTTGCCCTGTAAATCTCTTTTTGTCCATGCTCACTGAGGCTGAGGGTAGGGGTGCCAGCCTCACTGTGCTTAAGGGGAAAGTGAGATTGGCAACAAGGATATCAACAGCACTGACTTCTGCCTCAGTGTTGCATGTGGTACCTTGGCAAGTTACTAATCTTCACTCTAGTTGGAGACGATGGGGACTGTCTTCTGAGACATGGTAAGGACTAAGTGAGAATGCACAGGAGGTTCTTAGCACAGCATCTGGCATCTAGTGGGTTCAGAGAAAATGTCATTGGTAATGTCACTTTCAATGATATGCCTCTCTTTGTATCTATTGCTGCATAGTCTAGAAACTAAGAAGTGCCTTTTCCAGTGAGAGATACAGGTAACTTGACTCATTATTGAGGGTAACATGCAGTAGACCTCATCCCAAGTGTTTTCCACTACACCTGTCTGATGAGATCTTAGTCTGAAATTCAAGCAGTGGTATCGCCTTCATATAGTTAAGAAGGTAAAAGATGTCATGGTTTAAAACCCAGCAACACAGCTGGTATGGCCCTGCCTCAACCTTTTGACTTAACTGCCTGGAAACAAGTATGTGAGGGCCTGCACAGTCTCCCTTAACTTTTCACCATATGCTTAAAAATGTACTAAATAAATGCCCTCATGCACTTTATTTGATCTGCACAACAACCTGAGTAGGTAAGTATTATCTCCCATGTGAAAACTGAGGCTACAAATAACATGTGATTTCACACCCCATGTGCTTACTGCCATCTCCTCTCAGAAAAAGGTGCAGTGCTGTGTCAAGGTTAAGATGGAGGTCACATTGTCTGTTTGCTGAGTTCCCTTTACTGCTAATCTTGGGATGCTTCAGCAATTCCTCAGGTGTCTCGGGGCCCTATGCTGGCCTCCACTGTGGCAGTGAATTGAGAGTCCCAGGCTAGAACACTGCACCAGCTCAGCACAGAGT